ATCTGACACTCGTGCACTTCAACCGTGGACGACATCATAACCGTGAATCCCTGATCTTCAAGTTTTATAATATAGATGTGGGTCCCACTTGACAGTACCCTGGCTGTTACTAATGTAGGAGTATAAACTAAAAATGTTTGGGCCCAACCGGCCAGCGGAGCTGAGGTCCGTTGGCACGCCAGCACGTGAATTCGACTTGGACCCCTCTCTCTCCGAGATGCTAGCGCCCGAGCCGTTTGGACGGACGCTCGAGCGTATTAGCCCGTTTCACTGCACCCTGTTTCCCGCGTCTGCTCGTTCGCGGCCCGCGCCGCATGGATGTCTCCCACGCGGCCCGACAGCATGTGAGGATTGTCTGCCCGCTTGGTGGCACCCTAGCAGCTGCACCGGCCGACTGCGGCGAGGGGGTCCAATTCAGCATGTGCAACATCCGAGGTCCTTTTTACAACATTCGGATGAACACAGTTACAATATACGTCCAAAACAACTGAAACACTTGCAACATACGTCTAAAACACTTGCAAAACACCGGTAAAACCTTGAAAACACGTGTGTAGGCATTGCAATACATTGCAACATCTAGATGAAAACACTTGAAACACTTGCATATAAGTATGCAACATCAAGATCTATTTTTGCAACATCCAGATAAAACACTTATAACATACGTTTGAAATAGATGAAACATTTGGAACATGAAACATGCGTGTATAGCAATTGCAACATGTGCAACATTTCGATCTACTTTTGCAACATCAATATAAACCACTTGCAACATACCTCTGAAATACGCTTGCAACATGCGCTTTTAGTGCGATGTCACCTTGCTGCCTGGATGAATGAAGACTCGTCGTTGCGGAGGTCGGCGACGGCACAGAGGTTGCCGGTGACACGGAGGTCAGCGGCGGCGCATGGAGCTCACAACAGTGTGGAGGTCGGTGGTGACGCAGGCATGTCGCCGGCGGATGGAGCGCAGCCACGGCAGGAGGCGCGACTCCGGGCGGGAGGGGGCGGAGGGCGGTGCGGTCTAGGGCGTGCACCTCGCAGCGTGGGTGGGCAGGGTGTCCGGTCCATCCGAACGCCCTATAGGGAGCATTTCCTCTCTCTCTCTCTCTTATTTTTTCCCTGAACGCTGACAAACTTTTAGTTCAATTCAAGTATTCAACCTCGACGGCCCACGGCCCACTAGAATTGAATTAATGAACATCATGCTCCCATATTCAAATCACACGGAAACTATGCTTGTTAAGATCATGCCTTAAGGTCACATAGTTTTGGCATTTCATTCCGTCTTGGAGATCATGTAGACTAAAAGGAGGTGAAAGGGCCCGTAGCCGAGTGGACGAAAGGGCCTCTAGCCTAGTGGTTACAAGAGTACCTCAGGTCCTTGTTTGACTCCCCGTAGGAGCAAATATTTTAGGATTTGATAGTGTTGTGTTTTTAGTGGTAGGAGATATCCCTATCGACAACAAGACGCCTGTTGTGACTTTGTCAATCTCGAGTATTTCTCGGCCCAATCTTGGAAGATGCTCAAAGGGGTAGGATTTGCGAGCAAAAAGTTAATAGGTGTGAGTGAGCGTGCGTTATGAGTGTCTGAGTTGCAGTGTATAATCACAAAAATATAGACTAAAAGGAAACCTAATACTCTATGCTACCATTTCTGGTCAGGTAAAGCCCGGGTTGGTAGTGCTCCTTGAGGGGCCTTAGCTCTGATTTTTTCGGTTTTTGAGGTGAAGTTTTGCCAAATGCTAGCTCAAGAAATGGTTGTACGAGAGAAGCACTAGAGGGGATAAACTATTTTCTTACTATAACGGTGAAGGCACATAGACATGACTTCTTTGATTTCCTTCCAACTTCTTGAGTGAGGCCGGTTGCAAAGAAACCCTACTAAACATGGTCTAAAAGTATGACGTTTTATAGATGAAAGTGACTTATTTTGTGCGGGTTTTCTTTAGTTTAATCATCCATTTTATTTGGCTAGTGGTAGTACTCCTATGCCATGTTGACATGGCGTGACTATAAGGACTCAACAATTGTAAAGAAAAGCTTCTAAGGCTTGTTTGGTAGAGCTTCACTTCGAGCTTCTTCGAGCGGATTGCACGGAGCTCTACCAAATGGTTAAAATGAAGCTAGATTCTAGTGGAGAACTGATAAGAATCACTTCTCCATTTATATGCGAGCTTGGAGCTAAAAAAACTCCACTCTCCATTACTCCCGGTTTAATCGCCATCTAATCACTTCTCAGCTACTCCCATCCTACTCATCCACCAGAATCAGTCCATTAGAGAATCAAAAAGTGAAGATCAAGAACAGGAGGTGGTGTTCTATGAAACTAGCCCTAAAATGCACTCACTTTGGACCTTTAGTCATGTTGTGTTTGTAATGAAAACACACAAGATGAGAAGAAATAGATTGCAAAAACCGGCAAAGAAATATTTTGGGCTAAAAACACACATACTAAAAAAAAGGGGGAAATTCCTTGTGTGCCATTAAAAAAAATCGTAATGTCCTGTGTGCCCCTGGAAAAGTTCAGCGGTCTTTAGCGCCACTGCTCTAACTTTTTTGTGCCCTCCATGCCACTGTCGTCAGTTTGTGCTCTAACGCCGTCAAACTGCAAGTGTGAAAAGTCAAAAATACCCTTATGTCTAAATATGTCATTAATTTTTTTACATCTTAACGACTTCAAACGAAAAAAACTCAAAACTAGAAAGTTGTAGATCTCGTCGAGATCTATAATTTTCATATAAAAATTATCTTTATTTAATTCCGAAAAAAAATAGTCGTTAAGATGCTCAAAAAAATTAATGACATATTTAGACATAAGGGTATTTTCGACTTTTCACACCTGCAGTTTGACGGCGTTAGAGCCCAAACTGACGGTAGTGGCATGGAGGGCACAAAAAAGTTGAAGCAGTGGCGCTGAAGACCGCTGAGTTTTTTCAAGGGCACACAAAACATTGCGATCTTTTTTAATGGCACACAAAGAATTCCAAAAAAACAAAAATGAGCCCATTTCAAGTAACAACGACCAGCTGACATCCATCGGCACGTCAGCATGTGCATTCTATTTGGACCTCCTCTCTTTTATATTTTTTCGAACTGAGATCACTTTTATTTTTTTCCGGAACTGAAACAAATTTTTAGTTCAATTTCAGGTATTCAACCTCTACGGCCCATGGCCCCCAGAATTGAATGAACGCTGAAACAATGCACATGATGTTCCTCTGTTCAAAACACATGAAATCTGTGCTCGTTGAGATCATGCCATGTCTAAAGGTCACATAGTTTTGCCATTTCATCCCTGTCTTGGAGATAATGCAGTGAGAGACTCAATGCTCTATATGTTATCACCTCTGGTCAAGTAAAGCCCGGTTTGGTACTGCTTTTTGAGGAAATTGATCTCTGATGTTAGCTCAAGAAATGGCCATACGGGAAGACGGAATAAATTATTTTTTTACTAAAATGGTGAAGGCACGTAAAAGTGTCTTCTTTGACTTCCTTTAACTTCTTGAGGAAAGCCGGTTCCAAAGAAACCTTGCTAAACATGGTCTAAATATATGACACTTTATTAGAGATTAAAGAAGCTTGTTTTGCGTAGGTTTTTCTTAGCTGTAGCATCCGATTTGTTTGGCTAGTGGTAATACTCCTAAGCCATGTCAACATGGCGTGACTATAGGAACTCAACAAATGTAAACAAAAAATCCATAGAGACTCAAACGAGCACTAAATTCTATTTGGTGGAGCTCCGCTCCTATCTTCTTCGAGCGGATTTTGCGAAGCTCTACCAAACGACTAAAATGCAGGTCGATTCCAATGGAGAGTTATAAGAATCACCTCTCCATTTACAGGTACGAACTAGGAACTTAAAAAACTTGCTCTCTACTGCTCCACGTTCCATCACCATCTTGATCACTTCTCAGCTGCTCCCCATTGTACTCTCCACTATAATCATTCGATAAAAAAATCAAAGAGTGAAGTTTAACAATCAGGAGTTGTTGTTCTAGGAAACTAGCCCTAAAATGAACTCGCTTTGGACCTCTGGTCATGTTGTTGTGATGAAAACGCATAAGATGGAAATTCTGATTGGTCATTCGGTTTATTTGGTTCATATCGTTCTTTGGTTCGTGAAAAAATCTTGTTGGTTTGGTTTGTGTGAGAGAAAAAAATCTTTTTTCAATTTGGAAATTTACGATCGTTTCTGACAATATCACAGCCCAAACGATCAGACTGTAAAATATGCCAAAAAATTCTTCTAGGCTAAAAGAAACAAGACAACAAGACACATAATAATCACAAAAACACAAGCATATATATATCCCTATTTCGAGGAACAAAAACACATGACAAAAGGTACAACTACTACTAACTTGTCATGTTTTTTTAGCGCAACAAAAACAAAAGTTGATGTAGGCCTGATCGGCTGCACTACTTCCCTCGCTCCGTTACGGCGGGTGCGGGGATCTGAATCGAACGGCGACAGAGCAAGGAGTAGGAGCCGCGGTGTCGACAGGGACCCTCCACCGGCCGCTATATAACCCTCCCAGCGAGGCCGGCGGGCGGCCCTGCTGAGTTCTCACCCGGTGGCGGAGGCAGCCCCCAAAAGCCCGCAAGCCAAATTCCCCAACCCCCACCACCTCCACACTCCAGTAAGCTCCCCGCCTCCTCCCCCCTCGGTCTCCCTCCTCCAATTCGTTCTGCTTCTGCTGCTGCAACTGAATCGAATCGCTCCACTGCTACTACTACTAATCTCTCTATACTACTACTGCTTGCTCCTGTTTCAATCGATCAATCAATCATGCCGCGCGTAGGTTTTTTCCGGCGCAAAGGTAACGAACGATCACGAGCCCCGGTTTCCCGACCCCCCGCCGCCAGATCCGCAGCGATTCCGTCCGCCCGACGCGAGTTCCCGTGTGTATTATTTTTTCCCGTGGATTTTTGTGTGTGATTTTTTGGGGATTTTTTTTTTTTGCCTGGTCTAGGGTTAGGGTTTGTGGGCGGCGATGTCGGATCGGCAGCCGTCGGAGGAGCCGGAGGAGCAGGTGGACCTGGAGGGGGACGACGACGGCATGGACGACGACGACGGCGGGTACCGCCGCCGCAGCAGCCGGGACGACTCGGAGGAGCCCGATGAGGACGACGACAATGACGAGCGCCACGGCGACGGCGACGGCCGCGGGGACGACGACGCCGGGATGGAGCCGGAGCCGGCCGGAGGAGGCGGCGGAAAAGGCGGGGACGAGACGGGCAAGGGGGCCGACGCCGCCGCGGGTAGCGGGCCCGAGGACGAGGAGGAGAGGAGCAAGTGGGACGAACTGCTCGCCCTGCCGCCCCATGGCTCCCAGGTCTTCATTGGCGGCCTGCCCCGCGACATCACGGAGGACGACCTCCGCGAGCTGTGCGAGCCGTTGGGAGAAATCTACGAGGTCAGTTTCACGAATCCATCCCCTTGTTTCTTACCGTCAGCTTGTTACATGCATGGAGTTGTAATGTGCGTCTCTGTGCGGCGAATCGAATGGCAGGTGAGGTTGACCAAAGATAAGGACACCAACGAGAACAAGGGGTTCGCCTTTGTCACCTTCATAGACAAGGACGCGGCGCAGAGTGCCATCGAGGATGTGCAAGACAGGGAGTACAAGGTAGCTACTAGCGCAGCCGATTGTTCTGCATAACATGAGTTTCCGCATTCTGTCATGTGTTCTGCGCATTGCGTTTATATACGATGGTTGTTTTTGGTGCTGCAGGGGAGGACTTTGCGGTGCTCTCTGGCGCAGGCAAAACACAGGCTGTTTATTGGGAATGTGCCCAAGGGGCTGAGCGAGGAGGAGCTGACCAACATTATCAAGGGGAAGGGGCCAGGTGTCGTCAACATTGAGATGTTTAAGGTGTGCTTTGTGGTTTTGTGCTTGTCTTCGTCTGTACAGAGCATGAGTTCTGGATTCATTAATGGTGAGATGCTGTTGCACAGGATCAGCATGACCCGAACCGTAACCGTGGCTTCCTCTTTGTTGAGTATTATAACCACGCCTGCGCAGAATATGCCAGGCAGAAGCTTTCATCACGAAGCTTCAAGGTTGATGGGAGCCAATTGACTGTTAGTTGGGCTGAACCTAAGGGTTCAACAGATCCTTCATCTGCAGCTGCTCAGGTAGACATTTGGGCTAAAATGAAATTTCAAATCCTATATGTATTGTTATATTTCAAGTTTTATTAGGCCTTTTGGTTTTGCAACGTTAGTCTTATGCAAGTCTGCCTATCGTTCTAGATGAATTGGGCAATTTGGATGTCAATGAATTTATGTTTGCCTTTTCTGCTGTCATAATCTGTTAGGAACCAGATGTAGATGTGGCCACTGGAAAATGAAAAACAAAAGAAGTATCAAGTATTTGGGGCTTAATGGTTGTATTTGTTGATTAGTCATTTTCTCACTTGGATAGTTCGATAAAAGGTTTAGTGCCTTTTATCATGCCTGATGAGTTTATAGTGTTTAAATGCTATGTGGGCATGATTTGTAGTGCATAACCTCCTCTTAGATTGCTTAGATAGCTGTAGGTTGTATGTTCTGCCTTGATCAACCAGGCAGCTTATCTTTGAAGTTCTCTGTGTTTAGTGATAATACGTGTCTGTATTGTCAGACTTATGAATCTTAGAGTCTTACATTTTATATTAATTGGGATATATTGAAGAATAGATATTCTAGTCTAAAGAAAAAAAACCTCATCTGGTTGCATGTGAAGTCCAGTATCATGCAAGATCTAGAATGTTTATTCAACATTTTAACCATTCTTTTCATAATGTATGCAAAAAATACATAATTATACATAAATGAATTACGAATTGAGTGCTTCATGTGAATTCTTAAGAAATCATTGTGCAAAAATTATTGTTGATTGTGTAGACTTGCAAGTTAATGTACTGATTGACTTGCCATTGGTTCAACATGCGCTAGCTGTATACTTTTATTCAATTAGATGTGTGTCCTGTTTGTTTAGAACAATCTTGGCTTGTAATTTTTCATATGCAGAAATTTACACTCAGTCCTTTCCTTTTGGCTGTGGATTTTAATATTTGCTACAATTATGCAGGTGAAGACTATATATGTGAAGAACCTACCTGAGAATGTTTCTAAAGAGAAGATCAAGGATCTGTTTGACAAACATGGAGAGGTCACAAAAATCGTCCTGCCTCCTGCCAAGGCTGGGCATAAGAGGGATTTTGGCTTTGTTCACTATGCTGAGAGATCAAGCGCACTGAAGGCAGTTAAAGGAAGTGAAAAATATGAAATTGATGGTAAACTCCCTCCCTGTTATCATCCAGTATCCTGTGGAATTTATTGTCGTAGAAGCAGCACAATTAGAATTTGTTCTTGACCAAATTAATCAGAAATTATTCATAGTTGAATCACTTTAAAATCACATCAGTTTCTATTGGTGATGATACTGATTACTTGGGCACCTCTCAGCTTGCAGTACAATTGTGTGGCATGAGTGAGTTTATTTAGATCCTGAGGGCCATTTATTGGTATAAAAGGAGTTTTAGTTGCTAGAACTGCTTACTGTGTCATAAATAGATCCATCTTAGATGTAACCTTGGGCTTACTAATGCAGGTCAAGTACTGGAAGTATCCATGGCCAAACCTTTGGCAGATAAGAAACCTGATCATTCACACAGGTCTGGAGGAGGCCCTAACTATCCTCTTCCTCCCTATGGTGGTGGTTACATGGGAGATCCGTATGGTGCTTATGGTGGCGGCAGTCCTGCATACAACCAGGTGATCCAACCTAACCATTTCAGACAATCACATGTTTGCAATACTGCAATGTGTTATTTTGCTTTATTAACATAATACTTTTGGCAGCCAATGATATATGGCAGAGGTCCAGCACCGGCAGGAATGAGGATGGTGCCGATGGTGCTTCCCGATGGTCGCCTTGGCTATGTCCTGTAAGACCATTTGTCTACAACACAGCACCCATCGAGGCTCAATGTCTGTCTAAGCACATATTTGCAGTTTGTGACAGCATGCTCTTCTGTTGACAGGCAACAACCTGGTGGAATGCCGCCTCCACCCCCACCAGCGGAGGGGTGGCGACCGAAGAGACAGTGGCAGAGGCGGCGAAGGGCACAGCCGGCGATATCGCCCTTACTAGCTTTGCCCTTGTGCGCTCTACTCCCATCACCGTGTGAAGTGTTTGTTAACTTAATGAGATGAGATAGGAGCTTGTGTTCTTGTTCCAGTATAAGGTCTGCAATGGCATGATACTTGTACCATCTGTTTCTTCGGTAACGTAATTTTATCATGCGCTGCATGTGACTTGAAACTCTGTGATAGCCTTGTATTGCTTCCTGCCTTCTGGCACCTGTAGTAGTGAACTGATGAACGAAGTACCTGTGGACTCTGAAGCTTTTGTGTGATTATTTTGCTGTCTTGCATCTTGGCGCAATAACATAAAACTACAGTTGAAGGCTTCTGTTTTTTGAATTCTGGTTTTGTGTGATTGAACGGCCTCTTGTTAACAGGACAAATGCACAGAACAGAACAAACTGAAGCCAAAAGTGGTGCGTGGATGCCACAGGACTCTTACCAGCCCCTGCTTTTAAACTTTAAAATGTTAATTAGCAAATTCTATTTTTACTTGCTGTATTTAATAGGTTGCAGGCTTCAAATTTTAACCTCCTTGGCATGACTTTTCTATCGGCTTAGGTCCAATTTAAACAAGGCTTTGCATTTTTGGCGCTAAAAGTTAAAAACATAAAAAAACAGTTGAAGGATTCTCTTTTTTTGAATTCTGGCTTTTTTGTGTGATTTTAAAACGGCCTCTTGTTAACAGGACAAATGCACAGAACAAAACAAACTGAAGCCAAAAGTGGTGCGTGGATGCCACAGGACTCTTACCAGCCCCTGCTTTTAAACTTTTAAAAAATGTTATCGAGCAAATTCTACTACTTGCTGTATTCCGTAGGTTGCAGGCTTCATTTTTAACCTCCTTGGCATGACTTTTCTATCGGCTTAGTTACGAAACGGGGACACAAGAACGGCTTCTGAAGCCAAAATCAAGTTAAAAACGGTGGCTGAAGCCAAGAAATGACCTCTACAACTAAAAACGGCTCAAGAACTGACTTCTACGGCTAAAATCAAGTAAAAAACTACCGAAATATGACCTTTTGTGGTTTCTCCATTTTCAAAGAATTTATGCCGAGCCACTGTTCTCTTTTACCTTGGTGCAACTGTTTGATATATTTTTGTGTGAACTGGAGTTGAAGCTAACTTGTTTCTGAATTCTGGTTTTTATGATTGAACGACTTCTTGTGGACAAAGCATGAGTTCCACAGGACTACTCAGAAAGTTGTTTTTATTTTTAATTTTGAATAAATTCTACAACCACAATTGAAAATTTCAAAGGTTGCTTTTATGATCGAACGCCCCTCTTGTTTATAAAGGATGAGTTCCACGGAACTACCGGTGGCTGTTTTATAAAGTCGTTTTTTCTAAAAAACCAAGTAAATTCTACGAGCACACGTGAAATTTTTTCAAAAGGTTTTGTACGTAGGCTGGTTTGGATATGATGTCTAATGTTCTATTTGGATTATATGGTCTAAAAGTTAGTTTTTTTTTAGAATGGTCTAAAATTTTGTTGATAAAGTTAGTAACTAAACTTTAGACCATTTTAGGTCCGTGTGATCGGACGAACTAATGATTTTTTTTTTGTTTTTTTGGTGAGGATGGCTAAACTTTATGTATCACTTTAGAGTCTTATAAGAGCTAAAATTGTTTAAAAGGTTAGTGGCTAAACTCTAGAACATAAGATCCAAAGTTTTAAACAGACCCTAAAAAGTGTCTAGTAACCCAACAGGGAGTTGGCACTTGACACCCAATATCGCCGTGCAAAGGCCATCGGAGCTTACGGTGCAACGTGATAAATAGTATACAATGAAATAAATACGGAGTACGTCCGAGCACAGGTCCATCCCAAATCCGTCCCACTAGTACCGGCAGAATCGGCGAAATACACGTACACCCAGACCCAGACCCGGCACGACTGACGGGGGAGCTCCTCTTCGGCCAAGCCTTTTGCCCCGGCGCTCCCACACTGTCACACAACACGCACGACCCGACGAGACTAGGAGGAATACACGACACGACACGGAGTCACGGACACGATACGACGCCTGGCAAACAGCAGCAGCATCTGCCTCAATACTTGGCGGTGCCGGCGAAGTAGGCGAGCACGCCGACGAGCGGCGCGTTGATGTAGGTGGCGGGCTCGGTCTGGCCGTAGCTGTCGCGGTCGTCGACGAACCCGTCGCGCGCGTCGGGGCCACCCACGACGGCGCCCACCAGCACGTTGGCGTCGGGCGCCGCCGAGTGCAGGTACGCGAACCCCTGGTCGCATCCGATGCGCGCCGGGTGGGCGCGCACCGACGGCAACGATGCGCCGCGGTGGTGCAGCCGGCGCGGGTACCGGTCCCCGAACCCCACCATGAACGACGTCCCCGCCGGGTTCTTCCCCAGGATGTAGTCCACCTGCCGCTTCGCCAGCGCGACGAGCTCGGCCGGCGCCACCTCGCCGCCGCCGCAGGCCACGGTGGCGCCGGCGGACCGGAGGTATTTCGCGTACGCCAGGAGGAGGAACGTCGTCGTCGTCACGTACTGCATGTTGCTGCCGCCTTCCCTGTAGATGAGCCCGCCCGGCGTGTACTGCCCGGCCTGGAACCCGGCGGCGCCCGGCACCAGCGAGCAGATGTAGCTGTCGGAGTGCGCCTTGTACAGCTGCAGCCCGGGGACGTTCCGTCTCCGGTCCCGCCGGAGCACGCCCCTCGCCAGCAGCACCTTGGTGCCGATGCGCTTGTCGTCCCAGCTAAACGAGTAGTCGTCGTTCCCGGCGCCGTCCTGGGCGCCGTTGGCGCGCACGTACGCCATGAACGACACATTCCCGGACGCGCGGTGCAGCCATGCGGCCGCCCACAGGAGCTCGTCCTCGTACCCGGAGTACGAGCAGTAGAACGGGCACACCGCGGCGCTGAGTGCGCCCTCGCTGTACGAGCCCCGGTGTCGGTCGGCGAGCTCGAACGCCACCACGGCGGCGCGGAGCAGGCGCGCCGCGTACCCCGGATCGGCGCGGCGGAACGCGACGGCGGAGGCGGCCAGCGCCGCCGCCGTCTCGGCGGCCACGTCGGACCCCGGGGTGGAGGAGGTGATGGAGTACACGGCCCGCGGCGTGTCCATGTCCTCCGGCCGCTCCCAGCACTTGTGGTCCTGACCCGGGTCGCCCACCTGGACGTAGAGCGTGCCCGGGGTGGAGGTCGCGGCCTTGAGGAGGTAGTCCGCGCCCCAGCGCACGGCGGCACGGGCGTGCGGGAGGTCGGACCCCATGTACTTGCCGAAGTCCGCCACGCTCCATGCTAGCATTGTCGTGGTGAACGCCATCGGTAGGCCGAACTTCATGTTGTCGCCGGCGTCGTAGTACCCGCCCACTAGATCCACCTGCCGGAAGCCGGATACATAGAGGTCGTCAGTCATCCCTGCGTGGACAATGCGAGCGACAGAGAGAGAGAGACAGACTAGTAGGAGCATTGGCAGTATTACGTTGTGCTGGGCGCCGTCGGTGAGGCCGGAGTCGCCGCGCCAGGGCATGCGGTTGCCCGGCGGCAGCTTGCCGGAGCGCTGGCCCTCGAAGTAGATGATGGACTTGGCGAGCGCGTCGGCGTAGTTGAAGGCCGCGGCGAGGTCCGGGGCCAGGAGGAGCAGCAGCAGGACGGCGCTCAAGCTGAGCAACCTGCTCCGGGGCTGCTCCATGGCGGCTGGCTGGCTAGTGACAGTTGGGTAGTGTGGGGTGGTGGTGGGTCTCCGGAGCAGAGTGGGGGAGTGTGAGAGTGACAGCCGCCTCGCCTCCCTATTTGTAGAATGGGAGCGGCCGGCAAAGACGGTTAAGTTAGTTGGACCCGAAGCTTTTTTGTGGCAAGACCGGTATCAGCTGCGAGAAAACGGGGAGTTGGGAGACAAGATGCAGTGGAGTGCTGCAGTGCATGCAGGAGTTAATTACAGAGGAAAAGGGGCAGAAGAATCCCAAGAAGACCGTAAATTTGACCGGAGTCCGGAGTGACTTTCGGCTTGAGGAATGATCGTCTGGAAGTGTGAGCAATTAGCCGTTCGGGTTTATTACGCTTATGTTGAAAATTTTGTTTCATGTGAAAGATAACATTGTTTCTGATGAAAAGTTTATTCTTTATAAGAGACTCTTTTTAATCTCTCCGTTTGTGTTTTGTGCCCAACTTTTTACGGTAGCAAAAAAAAATATTAGATACTTCAATGTATATAACACTAATAAAGTATGTTCAATAAAAAATCATAAAGTGAAAGCTTGATGTATCTAAAAATCTTTACAGAAAAAAAAGAGACTCAAAATTTTAAAAATACAAGTTGAAAACGGAGGTAGTAATAGAAGAAGACAACTAGCTCCTGTCTCGCAAAAAGGAAAATGTAGGTCCTTTTCCAAGGCCACTAGAATTTCACATTCTATTTTTTTTTACACTTTGTAACCAAGCCTTGTCCTTGTACAGTACTACTTTCCAGACAGGGCCAATGTTGGCAGTGAGATTGAGCTTAAAAAATAGACATGGTGACATGGTAGGAGTGCAGTAATAAACTGTCCTCTACTAATCCTGCGGTTTCCTTGCGGGCGGCCGCCTGAATCGACGCCGTACTCCCTCCCTCCCACGCCTGGAAAGCCAAAGCCAGATAGGGTGCGGCGCAAAGGAGAAAAAGCTGCCGGCTGCCGCGGGCACGGGAGGAGAGGTGGGCTATGGCGATCTATGGTCGCTGGTAGTCCTCGCTAGGGTCCCGGCGACCGGTCGGCTTTTCTTTCCGGTTTTCAATTGAGGACTTGTTTGGTTACTCTTTCAAAAATTTACACGCTATCTATTAAATATTTGACATATATATAGAGTATTAAATATAGATTAAAAAATAATTAGTTGCACAGATTACGACTATTTTGCGAGACGAATCTTGTAAACTTAATTAGTTCATGATTTGATAATAAAGTACTACAGTAACACATGTGCTAATAATAAATTAATTAGACTTAATAAATTCGTTTCGCGGTTTACTAATGAACTCTATAATTTATTTTTTATTAGTATCAAACACCGTATCTCATTGTGACACTCTTTGCATCCTGAACTAAACAGGGTCCGTAAAGCAGCAGCCAGGACCAGCAGGATTCCATGCTGACATGCATCATGCATGCGGTGTTACTGTAGCGTGGCTGAACCTGAACCGCTGGAGACCGGAGAGTGTGACTGTTGTGAGGTGAGGGGACTACTGGTAGTTTTTTTTTTACCGCTGCTACGACTGGCCATCTATCCACATGACCATTGACCACATGCCTCTCTCTCTCTGCTGCGGCTCTGCAATGTCACTACTCCTGCATCTGCATGTACTGTACATGTAGTGATGGATGATGGATGCCTTTTCACCGGCCAATCACGCATTCACGCCGCGCGCAATGCAAATGCGCAAGCAGCTTGGGGCTTCAGCTCACTGCACACGCAAAGTCTGTCCAAAGCTTACTCCGACCCAATTTGTTGACCAAAAAAAGGACCACCCTTTGCTCGTTTCGAAATGGCTCGAAATGGTTCCTCCGTTTAAAAGAAGTTGCATTCTCAACCGGCGGACGGTATTGCTAAATCGCCGAAATTAAAAACTAATTGCACAGTTTGGTTGTACTTTGCGAGACGAACGTTTTAAGCCTAATTACTCAACGATTGGACAATTCTCACCAAATAGTACTGTAGCTACAGTACCGCCGGAAATTCGACGGCGCCGATTCGGTGGCCGAACTAAACGAGTCCCTAGTTGCATTCTCAACCGGCGGACGGTATTGCTATCGCCACAACACAGAGAGCGAGCTACTTGAGTTTTTTTACTTGGGCTGATTTCGTTCGTGACCCGAACGTGTTATATCACGGTTTTTCGAGCAGATGTTTGGTTGCTGCCATAATTACGGCGTGTCACACTTTTTAAGTATTATGTTCCACACATCATAGACTTATTTTTTTACCAAACTTTGTTAGAAGTGTGGTTTCAATTTTCCTCACCGAACTTTCTCTGGCAGCCACAATTTACCAAAGGTTAGACGTAGCAAGTTTTGGTCATCAACCAAACATACTCTTAGCATTAAGATTTGCCTTGTTGCTTAGCGTATCCTTTCCCCCTCCTCGATCAACCTGTTATACTTGGGCCTATTGTTACAACAAATCGGTGGTCCAGTCATAGGATCCGTTCGGCTGGTCACATTCCCGGCTAGTTTTCGCTGGAGCTGATGGGCCTTCTAGCCCAACCGTTCAACATGCCTCCTCCAGCTGTTTGGCTACACTAGAAGAATCAGTCGACACCCTCCTCACTCTCCCTCCCGCATTCGCTCGTGTGCTCCTAGAGGGTTGCGCCGCTCCCAGCTGTTGCTCCCGCCGCCGCCACGGTTAGGTCTTCGCCCGCACCCCCACTCACGCTTCGCCGCCGACCGCCCTCCGTCCTTCTCCGTCCCAACCCGCCGGTCGCCAGAGACGGAAGCCGCCATCCACCCAGCGCGTCTCGCCGGATTCGGTGCGGCCTTGCCGTACCAGATCCGTCGCGTCGTGTTCGCCATATTGCCTAGCAGGTCCAGCCCCTTTGTCGGCTATGGAATCACCTTTGACCAATCCGATATGTACTCGAGTTCCCTCCCCCTTTTCTCGTTTGTTCTTGACGATCCGTTCGGTTAGGGTTTACGTTACCTTGCACCCCTACTTCATTTTCAGGTCAATTGGACCATACGTATTGATTGAAAATAGACGCCGATTGCAAGGTAAAGAAAACGGTAATGATAGGAAATGGGCGTCCGTCTATCCGGACAGACCCGTACGCCCGTATTTTTTAATCCATAGGCCATTAGGTTGATTTGTTTTAAGTGTGCGGACGCACTACTCCACGCGTCACGCCTCGCCCCGGCTGTGTTGTTGCTCCAGGCTGTATCGGCTGATCGGTGGGCCCGGTTATATTTTAAGACAAATGTGCACAAAAATACCAGAACGTGAGACATGCATGTAAACCAGAAGAGGACATAATCAACATGCATGCAGAGCAGTGCCGGATGACCAGCTAGAACAACGTATGGCCATCGTCTATACTTGCATGCATGTGCACAAAAATACATGTGGTCCAAAAATAACTATAGATCACACATATACGTGAGCCTCGTTATATTGCGAGTCAACTTTGCATGGTCAACATAAATAGCAACCATTTTTGTATGGGCCTTGATATTTTAGAGCCACATATTGCCGTGTTCGCTTAGCTTATAAACCGTACTTTTTCAGCCAATAAACAGTATATTTCCCTCACAATAAATCAGTCAACGGTACTTTCAGTCATGGCTTATCAGCTAAGCGAACAGGGCAAAAATATTTATATGGCCAGCTTAATAATTTATTTTGCCTAATTAACCATAGTCAACATTGTGCCAAAATTTTTTCATGCATTGGTTTTAGCGGTAATGCTACAGAGCAGTCGTCCATCCGTCCGGACGGACCGCTCTGTGTGCCCTACCCGCGCCGCTTGCTCCGTGCGCCCCGCCAGCTTGCACCGTTGCTCGTTCCGTCCCGCGCGAATTCGCCTCGCCGTTGCACGCGCCTCACCTGCTACGACCTTCTTGTAGGGCCACCTCCACCGCGCTAGTTCGTCGTGCTGCCCGCCCATGTTGCACTAAAAGTGTATGTTGTAAACATATGTGCCAAGTGTTTCAGATGTTCCAGATGTATGTTGCAAAAAAGTAGATCTGGATGTTGCCTATGTTGCAATGGCTATACACGTATGTTACAAGTGTCAATTCAAAATATTTCATCTACTTCAGACATATGTTGTAAGTATTTTATCTGAATGTTGCATATGTTGTAGTTGGCTATACACATATGTTGCAAGCATATGTTCCAAAGGTTTCATCTGCTTCAGACGTATGTTGCAAGAAGTGCTTCATGTTGAAGTGTTTAATGTGTAGCCGCAAGCGGTACCCGCAGGTGAAGGTAGTCCTTATGTGCGCGATACGGATGTTGCAAAAGTAGATGTGGATGTTTATATGTTGCAATGGCTATACACATATGTTGCAAGTATCTATTCAGAATGTTTCATCTACTTCAGACGTATGTTGCAAGTGTTTTATCTTAATGTTGCATATGTTGTTGTGGCTATACACATATGTTGCAAGCGTATGTTCTAAATATTTCATCTGCTTCAGACGTATGTTACAAGAAGTGCTTTCATGTTGAAAGTGTTTCATGAGTAGGCGTAGGCGGTACCCGCAGGTGAAGGCGGTACCTATGTGCGTGATACGGAGGTTGCAAAAGTAGATCTGAATGTTCATATATTGCAATGATTATACACGTATGTTGCAAGTATCTATTTAGAATGTTTCATCTACTTCAAGCACATTGGCCCTCCATTTATTTCATTGCATTTTCACTTTTAACATTTATATCTTTTTTATTCATCACATTCCAATAAATAAATATAGAAAACAAAGAATAAAGAAAGACCTTTGAACCTTAATTTTTTCCTAAAAAATAAAAGTTTTCATCATCAAGTTATTGATTTTGTTTTGATTAAGAACAAAACCTATCTTATAAGAACTTGGTTCAACTGATGATCTAACTAATCCAATGTGAACTAATATCTTGAGGTGTTTGTGGTTATTTTGGTCTAAATAAATTTGTGTCTCGACTGTATGCATGCACCAGTGCAACCCTTGACGAGCCCCACAACAT